GCTGTAGTATCCATTACGAACTTTAAATATTAAATTTGAAAGAATTCCGGTGGATAATGTCGCCAAAATCATCTAAATACTGAATATCGGGGGGTACCGTTATATGGGGGCTATACGAAGACGTGGACCTACACAGACAATTTTCTGTCAAGGGCTGTAGTATCTATTTCGAATTTCAAATACCAAATTTGAAACAATTCCGGTAAATAATGTCGCTAAAATCATCAAACTACTGAATATCGGAAGGTACCGTTATATGGGGGCTATACGAAGACGTGGACCTGCACAGACAAATTTCCGTCATAAGCTGTAATATCTATTACGAACTTCAAATACCAAATTTGAAACAATTCCGGTGAATAATGTAGCTAAAATCATCAAAATACCGAATATGCGGAGGTACCGGTTATATGGGGGCTATACGAAGACACGGACCTACACAGACAATTTTCTGTCAAGGGCTGTAGTATCCATTACGAACTTCAAATACCATATTTGAAACAATTCCTGTGAATAATGTCGCAAATGTCATTAAAATACCGAATATTGGAAGGTACCGTTATGTAGGGGCCTTACCAAGACGTGAACCTGCACAGACATGTTTCTGTCATAGGCTGTAGTATACATTACGAACACCAAATACCAAATTTGAAACAATTCCGGTGAATAATGTCGCTAAAATCATCGAAATACCGAAAATAGAGAGGTACCGTTATGGGGAGCTATACGAAGACGTGGACATACATGGCCCATACTAAAAGTCCTGCAGACATAATATACATTTGAGTAAAATTTTTTGCTGATCAAGGCTATATATATTTTGCGGGGTCTAAAATATATATTTCGAGGTGTTACAAACGAAATGACAAACTTAATATATCCTCCATACTATGGTGGAGGGTATAAAAACTTGCAATATGCCAGTATAATTGGAATCATTTCAAATAAAATCCACTTTAGCATTTTTTTTCAACCTTGAAAATAAAAATAAATATTTGATGTAAACAACCATTTTGCAAGGAACAGAATTTGCTGAGAATGAGTTATTCGCATGTATATAGCTGACCTCACCTTAAATGTCTTAAAGTGGAAATAATTCATTCACAGTTGTTACCAGCCCCAATCTATCCGTCATAAAAATACCTATATGAATTTGATTCATAATTGTTCAAACATTCTTATCTACCGTCTGATTAGAATCATTTAAATATTCTATTGAAGATTTCACGTGCTAATATAAAGTTCGTTTGAACTACTTCGCCAGGCTATGAGTTTCTTATCAATGTGAATTTTTTTTCGACTTGGCGCCGTACAGTGTTGCGAATTGGTATTTGGAATGGGAAAGTTAGTATTTTGTAAAAGTTCCTTGAAGTTGCTTGCTTTTCTATTTTAAATCATATCCTTCATATGCATTTCCTAACAAGTTCGCTGGTGTTTGATCTGACTAGAAATGGCTTGGGGGGTACGTCTCTGACTTCTTTGTCAAATAATTTAACGCCAAAGGGGACAATTGGGAAATGATAATTTACCGGAGCACAGACTTTCTCATTTTTTACTCGGGAGCGAAACTTGATTGTGTGCTCTTAAATGGAACTAGTTACTGTAACCTTGAGAATCGACGGTGTTTCCGGTGCCGTACTCGTTCACATTGCTAGCTGGACTTCTTTGAAAAATGAGAGTGGGAGCAGAGTCACTTAAACTAGAAGAGGACTTTACTTTCAGAGTGTGCCGTACTAGTTTCCGGTGCTGTACCAGTTCATGTTGCTAGCTGGTCTTCTTTGAAAAATGAGAGTAGGAGCAGAGTCACTCAAACTGGAGCAAGATTTTGCTCTCAGAGTGTAGACGAGGAAAACATGTTGCCCCCCTTTTTGGACATCGAAATAATTACTATGCTTGATTTTGTTTCTGCTGGCAGGAGCGCTCCCGCTCCAATTCGACTGAGATTCGACTTTAAATTTTATGTCGTATGAGGTCTAAAACAAATATTTAGGGATGTTATAAACGAAATGATAAAGCTAATATACTCTCCTTTTTCAAGGTCAATGGGGTTTCCCGCTTCCCCAGTTTTGATGGATATCGTCATCTAATCAGTTTGTACATTTTAGGTACTTTCAAATTTATCTATGGAATAGGGACAACATATTTGGTAAAGATGTTACCGATATTTTTGATGTTTTTTTTTTAAGTCGACTCAGGGGTCGGAAAATTAGGCTAATCTATAAATTTCTCACTTTCGAAAAAATGTCCCTCACTCACAAAACCTAATTATTATACTCTCAGCCATACGGCTCAACGGGTATATACAATTTGATAAGGTCGAAACGTGCCTAGTCGATATAACGGTTTTAGACCCTAGGTCTCTTTGGACCAAATCCGTTTCAGAACATTTGGAGTCGATCTAGCGATGTCCGACCGCCCGTCTCTCTGTCAGCCAGCCAGCTGGTGCGCACGATAACTCTCGAGGGGAGTATCCGATTCGATCTAAACTTGGTACACGTAATATTATTTTTAAACTTAGATCGAGTTCGGAGATGGACAATATCGGTTCACTCCTTCTGGTACCTCCCAGAAAAAATGTCAAAATTTTCAAGAAAATAATCTCACAGAAAGAGAAAGAATAATCCAATTTTGCTCCAACTTTGCAAAACCTAATTTTTTCATCAGTGCTACATCAGGTGCAAAAATGGATAATATCGGTCCACTCCATCAAGTACCTCCCCCACAAAGGGTGAACATTTTGAATAATTATAACTCTTTTAAAATGTGTTGTAAGTGTCCGATTATCTTCAAATTACACACATCACAATATTTTTATTAACCCAAAGTCTGGTGTGAAGATGGAATGTATCGGTCCACTCCTTCTAGTACCTCCCCTACAAAGGCTCAAATTTTTGAATCTTCATGAGACTCAAAAAACATGAAATTAACACCCTATTCCGTTCAGATTTGATACATCTCAAAATATCCATCAACACAAGATCTCTTATAAAGATGACAGAAATCGGACCATTCCTTCTGGTACATCCCCCCACAAAGGGTCAAAGTTTCAAGTAATCTAAACGAACATAAAATCCGAAATAATTCTCCGGCTTTCTAAATATTTCATAAAACCCATAATTTATACTAACACCAAATCTGCTGTGATGATATATCGGTCCACTACTTCTGATACCTCCCCCAAAAAGGATCAACCTTTTATGATAACTTTGGAGCTCATAAGACTTGAAGTTAACATCGGATTCCATTCATACTTGGCACATCTCAATATTTCCATCAACACGGGATCAGTCATAAATATGGTAGAGATCGGGCAATTTCTTCTGGTACCTCCCCCACAAAGGTTAAAAATTTGAATAACCAAAACGATGATAAAATCCCAAAAAAGCATCCGGTTCTCTTCAAATTACACACATCACAATATTTTTTATTAACACAAGATCTGCTGTGAAAATGGGATATGTCGGGCCACTCTTTCTGGTACCTCCCCCACAAATTGTCAAAATTTTGAATAACCAAAAACGATCATAAAATCCGAAATATGCATCAGGTTCTCTTCAAATTTCACACATGCCATGATTTTTAGATCTGCTGTGAAGATGGCACCTCTCAAAGGGCAAAAATTTCAATTATCCATGAAAAAAAAAAATAAGACGCAAAATTAAACACCGGTTCCATTCTACACAAGATCTGTTTGAAAGATGGTAGAGATCAGACAATTTTTTCTGGTGCCTCGCCTAAATAGAGTTCAAGATTTTGAAAAAACAAGACGCTCAAATAAAGCGAAATAAGCATCCAACTCTCTTCGAATTTCACAGCTACAAACATTTTTGCAAACTCAAAATCTGTTGTGGTTATGATAGATATCTGCCATCCCGTTCTGGTACTTCAACCACATAGGATCGAAAGTTCCAATACTTACATTTGTCATAATTGCGAGACAAGAATTTATGATGTCGAATAAAATTGGAGTAAATGTTTGATTTCCTTTAAATTTTGCACGTAACAATATTTTTATATGTATTAGATGAAGTGGAATATTTCGGATCGCCATGCCTGGTACCTCACGCATATTTCCACATATTCCCAAAATTTACACATATCTCAAATATGACACGTTGTAATATTTATGTTAGACGTAGGTCAGATACAAATTGGACAAAATTGGTCAACTGTTTCGGAACCTCCCCCATAAAGGGTCAAAAGTTAGAATAATCATAACTCAACGCTGGGGGTATATATCTGTTTGCAAAACCGATTGATTTTATTTAACTTTTTTCGATTTAAGCTCATTGCAAATATGAGATCAAGAACCGTGTATATAGGTCGTTTTCTGGATATGCATTTCCCTCCTTTATTTACCACCTTTAACATTCCAAAAAATTATTCAAATACTTATTTTCATTAAATATTAAACTTCTCCCCATCGTCTCACTGGATGGCCCCCTAATTCAACGTAATGTTCCAAAAATAATTCAATTACTTAATAGCAATAAACTATCTGTCAAGTGTAATAAATTTTGAAAGTCGTACAATAACAACAGCACCAATAACAAAACGTGATGGCACTCGTACAACGAACTGCTTGACAAATTCCCAAACTTTAATGAAAACGGTATTTGGGTTAATGACATCATTAAAATGCCCTGAAATGGAATTCCATACAATTGAAATTAGCAGTTATTAGCGATAAGAACTGGAGGGCGCCGACTACCCACCTTTATCAAGAATTTGAGTTTTTTTTTTTTCAAATACATTTTAAGTTTCAAAAAAATAATTTAGAAAATTTAAAAAATAACTATCCCACTTAAAATAATTGGCATTTATTATGAAATTGTATCCCATTTTAATAAAAATTTATTTTTATTATTTTTTCTTCTTATTTTTCTATCTATCCCCAAAAAACAACAACTACAAACAACTAAACATCCAACCCAACAACCAACACCATACCACTGCTACTACTTCTCATCGCTTGCCTTGCCCAACAACAAAAAAACCAGCAAAAAGATGTACCCTGGCATCAGGTCTGGACACATATGAAACGTCTATCCCACGCCTCCAAAGTCAATTCGACGACAACGTTGTGTGCCCAGAAAACCGATCTCTCGACAACGGGCAAATCCATAATATTTCCCGATAGAACAGCCTCCCTTAAAGACACGTTGTGTGCGCAGCAGGTGTTTTCAAGGCCAGATATGGTAGGCACAACAACAGCAACTACAACCACTACTAGTAGCCTAGTTTTCTTTTCTATTTTCATTATCCTATTTTGTTGGTCTTGTGGAAAATTGCTTTTCATTTAAATTGGAATGGTTTTTATTATTGGTTATCATTGTAGATTAGAATGCTTCTACTACTTCCTCTTGCCTATATTGCTTCCTTAAATTTGTTGAAAATCGAATTGGATTTTTTTTTGCTATTTTGAAAATGGTTATGGTAATGAGTTTATTTTGGTTTTGGTTTGTTTTTCATTATTACCCTGTTTCGTTTTTTTTTTTTAATTTTTTTCAGGTTAAGTGAATGATTTTCGTATTGGAATGGCCCATAAATTGTTTTGTTTTAGTAGATTTGTTGAGTTTAAAAATTAATGTTGCTAATGTTTTTTTGGATGGTATTGAGTTGTTGAATTTTTCAAAATCAAGGGATTCCACCCTCTGAAAATCATCATTTTGATCTTCTATTGAAAAGTGCATACATTTAGATATCCTATCTAAGCGAAAGACCTTTTGCTCTTCTATCTTCTAGAGTAGAATACCTGAAGGATTTTTAAAGAAGAAGACACCACGGTCTTCTGCAAATAAAGATCTGGGTGTCTTTTATAAGTGAAGACAGAATAACATCTGGCGGTCTGCTATAGAAGAAGCTGACCTTGCGGTTTTCTATAGAAGTTGACTTTGTGGTCCTCTATAGAAGAAGATGAACTTGTGGTCTCCTATAGAAGAAGACGACCTTGTGTCCCTCTATAGAGACGACCTTGGTGGTCTTCTATATATGAAGATGACCTTGTGGTCTTCTATAGAAGAAGATGACCTGGTGGTTTTCTATAGAAGAAAACGGCATGGTGGTCTTCTACAGAAGAAGACTTGGTGGTTTTCCATGAAAGAAGACCTGGTGGTCTTCTACGGAAGAATACATTGTTTTCTACTATGGATGAAGGTCTTCTATTGAAGAAGCACTTGCTTTTTTTATCGACGAAAACCTTGTTTTTTTGTCGAAGACATCCTTCTTGTCTTCTATGAAATAAGACCTGGTGGTCTTCTATAGAAAAAGACGACATTTAAGTCTTCTATAGAAGAAGACGACGTTGGGGTCTTTATATAAAATAATAACCTTGTAGTCTTCTGTAGAAGAAGACAATCTGGTGGTTTTCTATAGAAGAATACGACCTAATGATCTTCTGTAAGAGGAGATCCCTTTGTGGTCCACTATAGAGGACGACCGTGGGTTCTTCTATAGTAGAAGACGACCTTGTGGTCTTCTATGGGATTTGTATAGAAGAAGACGACCTTATGCTCTTCTATAGAAGAAGACGACCTTATGGTCTTCTATAGAAGAAGACGAGCTTATGCTTTTCTATAGAAGAAGACGACCTTTGGTCTTCTACAGAAGAAGACGAACTTATGGTCTTCTATAGAAGAAGACGACCTTATGGTCTTCTATAGAAGAAGACGACCTTATGGTCTTCTGTAGAAGAAGAAGGTCTTCTATAGAGGAAGGCAACCTGGTGGTCTTCTATAGAAGAAGACAACCTGGTGGTCTTCTATAGAAGAAGGCGACCTTGTGGTTTTCTACAGAAGAAGACAACCTGGTGGTCTTCTATAGAAAAAGACAACCTGGTGGTCTTTTATAGAAGAATACGACCTTGGTGGTCTTCTATAGAAGAAGATGACCTTAGTTGTCTTCTGCAGAGAAGACGACCATGGTGGTCTTCTATAGAAAAAGACGACCTGGTGGTCTTCTATAGAAATCGCCCATATTGTGGTCCTCTGTAGAAGAAGATAACCTGGTGGTCTTCTACAGAAGAAGACGACCTTGGTAGTCTTCTACAGAAGAAGACGACCTGGTGTTCTTCTATAGAAGTATACGAACTAGTGGTCTTCTATAGAAGAAGACGACCTTGTGGTCTTCTATAGAAGAAGACGACCTTGTGGTCTTCTGTAGAAGAAGACGACCTTGTGGTCTTCTATAGAAGAAGACGACCTTGTGGTGGAAGAAAACTTGATGGTCTTCTATAGAACAAAACTGATGTGATTTAATTTGAAGAAAGACCTTCAGTAGAGAAAGAACTAGATTTCTTCCATAGAAGAAGACGACCGTATGGTCTTCTACAGAAAAAATACCTTGTAGTCCTCTAAAGAAGATGAGAAGAAGAGGACCTGGTAATCTTCTATAGAAAAAGACCTGGTGGTATTCTGTAGTAGAAGACCTTGAAGACCTTGGCATAGAAGAAGGTCCTTAGAGAGGCGAACCCTTTGTCTTTCGAGAGAAGACCACTGAGTCTTCTATAGGAAGACCATTCAGATTCTTGGAGAATGTGGTCTTCTATGAGAAGAACACTTGTTGTTCCAGTAAAATACCCTTTGGTTTTCTGGTAGAAGACTGTTTGGTGTTCTAGGGGAATATCCTTTGGTTTCTCAGGAGAGGACGCTTAGTCGTCTATAAGACGACCTTCTGGTCTCTAATGAGAAGACCTTTTGGTATTCTTTGAGATGACCCTTTACAACTATGAGAAGACCTTTTTGTCTTCCACTTTTATTCGAAAATCTATTTTTTCTGCTAAGGGAAGACACTTTGGTGGTCATCTATGGCTAGACCGTTTGGTCTTCTTTAGATACTTTGGTGTTCTAGGGGAATACCCTTTGGTCTTTTATGAAAGGACCATTGGCCTTCTACCAGAAGACCATTTGATCTTATAAGAAGACCCTTCGGTTCTTAAAAGAATACCCTTCTTCTATGAGAATACCCTTTCGTCTTCCAGGAAAAGACCTTTTTGTCTTCCATGAGAGAAACTTTAGTCTTCTAAAGGAAGACCCTTTGGACTTCTATAAAAAGACTTTTTAGCCTTCTATGAGAGTACCCTTTTTTCTTCTAGAAAAAGACCCTTGGGCCTTCTATTAGAAGTCTCTTTTGTTATTCTGTGAGAGGTCCTCTTTGGTCTTTTATGAGAAGACCCACTAGTCTACGGAGAGAAGATACTTTGATTTTCGGTGAAAAAACCAAAGGATACCAAATCATTCATTCACTTGAAGATCGTTTGGTCTTCTTGCAGAAATCCGTTTTATATGAGTAGATCCATTTGTCTTTTATTAGAAGGCCCTTTTAGTTCTGGAAAAACACCCTTTGGTGTTCCAGTATGTTAAAATTTTGGTATTCTGTAAGAAGACCTTTAGATCTTCTGTGCGGTCTTCTAAGAGAAAATGCTTCGGTCTTTTGGGAGAAGAGTCTTTGATCTTCTATGAGAAGACCTTTTGGTCTTCAACGTAAGAAAGGTCTTCGGACTCGTAGGAAACAACGCTTTGGTCCTCTAAGAAAAGACTCTTTGGTCTTCTAAGAAAAAACCCCTTAGACTTCTAAGAAAAAACCTATCAGTCTTCTGGGAGAAGACCACTTGTGTTTTAAGAGAACAGATTTTGGTCTTTTGGTAGATGAACATTTGGTCTTCAAGGGGAATAACTCTTGGTCTTCTTAAAAAAAGACCCTTCGTCTAATAAAGACTCTTCGGACTCGTAGGAAAGGACTCTTCAAGGACTTCAAGGAATAGAACAGTAGTTGAAGATCCTTTGGCCTTTAGTAGAAGACGTTTGTTTTTCTAGAAGGAAATACGTTAGTCTCCTAAGAGACTTCAAATAGGAGACCCCATTATTTTTTTGTGTTTTTTTATGAGAAGACCTTGGTCTTCTAGAAGAATATCCTTCAGCCTGCTTGTAGAAGACACTATGGTCTTCTAGGAAACACCTTTTTAGTGTTCTTAAAGAAGACCCTTCTTTGAGAGAAGATCATTTTGTATTCTACGAGAAGCTCCTACGTTCTTCTAGGATTTGAGCCTTCGTCCTGTTAGGAGAAGCGATGTGGGAGATTTAAATTTTCGTCGTTGTTCCAGATTCTTTGTTTGGTTTTGGTTTTTGTGGTTTTCTGCATCCGGGTCCATTTTGAGGGTAATAATAGGTATTTATGTTTATATTCAGTCATGATCTTCTGTGGCTCATAACCTCATATTCCTTTTTTTTGGTTGAGAATATCAAGCTTTTCTTACCCCAAGCTTTTCCCATGAGTACAGCATAGTTCAAAGCAATAAGAGAGTGAATATTTTTTTTTGTTCCGCCACAACTATTTAATGACTCCCTTGAAACCGTTAGTAAAAATGTTTCCAAACCCCGCTATATTTTACAATGGCAGTGGCCAACAAAGAATAAAATTGCAAAGTTTGTTTTTAAAATACAATTAAAAAACTCGAGGAAAGAACCACCAAAGCAAGTAAAACAAAGCGAAAATTGCGATGTGGGAGATTTAGCAGCCATTGTTTGGACGCCGAGCCACAAAACAGTAGCAACCAAGCTTAGCTAATGTGGCAGTGGCAAGTTGGCGAATTAAGCTTTAAAGTAGGAAAAAATGAAAAAAAAAAAAACAAACGTTAGCGGTAATTATCAAATAGCTGCATAATAACAATAACAAAAAAGTGTATGTTTGTTGTTATTCTAAATAAACTTTAAGGGGGGAGACAAAAGAATTGCTTTCAAAAGAGTGGAACACACACACTTTACATCCATAGATCCATACACACGTGGGGAAATTGTTTGGTTAAACAATTGTTGTCTTCTGAACAATAGGAACGAGGGATGGGAAAATGAGAGTGGGTCATTTGGGGGACTAAGGATATATTTTTTATAAGCGGAGAACTCTTAATCTCATACCTTACAGAGAAGGTACCATCTACTGATCTTCATTGTGCCATATATTCCATAACAAAAGTCCTCCTCCATCACTAGTCTAGATTCAGTCTGGTCAGTGGGATAAGGAAATTTCTTTTTAGTAAATATACAGGGTGAGATAAAAAAAACTCCAACAAAGTCAAACGCCATGATTTTTACATTTTTTTCTTATTTTTTATTTTTTTTTTTTTTTTTTTTTGAATGAAAGCAAAAAATGTCGGAAATAGCATGAAATTTTAGAATAAGTTTAGATTTGTTCGAATTGGTGG